TGACTTGACTTGACATGGGGTGGTCAATAAAAGAACAGAAAAAGTCAGTGAAATTACACATTGATTACTACAGAATACACTCTACTAGATATATTGTAGTAGTAAAACTTATTGAATTGGGAAAAAAACAGAAATCACATGATTTGCACTTAGTTTGTCAAAGCTGTTGTGTAGTTGATGTGTAGCTGTGGGTACATAAGGAAATGACACTAGTGCAATTAATGAAACTTACTTAAAATTTAGCATTTAAGGCCCGTTTATACTTCATTTCGCACTCCGCTCCGTCTAGCGCACATGTGGAGTGTGCAAGCTGTTCAAAGTACTGTATATTCCACTGACTGTGAGCTTCAATGGACATGTTCGTTGTGCACACCTACCTAGTAGACCTTCTGAGCAAAGTCCATGTGGTCAGCTGACTGTGCTTATGACCAAAAGTATGTCACATGCACTGTTCCCAAGACGGAGCGCAACAAAGGACAAACTTGTACTTTGGCTTTAAAGCCCAAGTCGTGTGTAACAGTAATAATCTTTTTTCGTTTTAACCATGTAGTATGTAATATTATGAATAACATAATTTGTACTGTGCACTAAAATGTATATGGCTTTAGGTACGTGTTACAGGTATGTGTTATATACACACAGCAGTATAAAAGTATAAAAAACGAATTAAAAACATGCTACTTAGGTGCAAGGCATAAATGCTGGATAATGTTTTTGTAATTTAAAGGGGTCATATGATGCGATTTCAATTTTTCCTTTCTCTTTGGAGTGTTACAAGCTCTTGGTGCATAAAGAAGATCTGTAAAGTTGCAAAGACTAAAGTCTCAAATCCAAAGAGATATTCTTTATAAAAGTTAAGAGTCAACCACGCCTACCTAAAACGGCTCGTTCTAACACACCCCACATGTCTACGTCACGATGTGAGAGAACCTTAAATTGCATAAACACATTTCATTACACCAAATACACCAAATAATGTTGTTTTTAGCAGCATCATATGACCCCTTTAAGAAGTTTTATGTAGCCTATAGGAAAAACAGGAGACATGCATACTATATTCCCTGGTTTTAAAACTACTTAAGTTAAAATTACATTTGTTTTTCCAAATCTAAAGAGTAGTTTTCTAACAGATGGCAAGGCACATTTTAAAAGAATAGTGTTTATTGATGGATTCTTTCATTTGCTTGACATGAATGAAAGAATGATGTGAAAAAGGATGTCTTGTGGACAACTGCCTGAGAGAGAGAGAGAGAGAGAGAGAGAGAGAGAGAGAGAAAGAGGAGTCTATCTCAGCATTACAGTACTGGCATAGATTCAGCACTCGAATTCAGTTAATGTGAGCGTCCAGTGCCAATCTCAGGAAACATCAGGACAGTTCAGCCAGACACAAGACTCACCGTTATAAACACTGAAATGATGGAGCAGAACATCTCACTGAAATATGCCTGGTAGGTTTCAGTTTGTGTGTGTATTTGTGTTAAATTTACCAGAGCACAGGAACACACACAGGCTGGAACGTGATGTGAAAAAGGATGTCTTGTGGACAACTGCCTGAGAGAGAGAGAGAGAGAGAGAGAGAGAGAGAGAGAAAGAGGAGTCTATCTCAGCATTACAGTACTGGCATAGATTCAGCACTCGAATTCAGTTAATGTGAGCGTCCAGTGCCAATCTCAGGAAACATCAGGACAGTTCAGCCAGACACAAGACTCACCGTTATAAACACTGAAATGATGGAGCAGAACATCTCACTGAAATATGCCTGGTAGGTTTCAGTTTGTGTGTGTATTTGTGTTAAATTTACCAGAGCACAGGAACACACACAGGCTGGAACGTGCTGGATCAAAGGCTTGAAGAGTTTGTGTAAGACATACGATTTAGTGTAGAAGTGCTTTGGACTGGCTCAGAAGAGACCCACTCATTCTCTAACTGAAGTGCTGCCTCACACTTATGAAGACTGATGGTAATATGGTAAACAATGAATCTATCTATCTATCTATCTATCTATCTGCATTTTCATGAGTTTAAATGAAAGATTTTTGCTCCTTTCCTAGTAAAAAAAATACATAAATAACTTGATTTTCAAAATTCAACCAATTTGCCACAGCTGAATGTAATATTTTTGCCAAGTCAAACATGTCAGTCTCTGAATAACATGTAATTTATTTAAGCCACAAAATAAACTTAATTCCGTAAAATATGAACTACGCAAAAAGCATTCTGAACGTCTCCAGCAGATTTCATATTGACCCAAAAATCAAACATAGTTTACCCCTAATGCACGTTATCAAGTCTGTCAAAAATTTGGCTGGCTGGCTGTCAGTTGGTATATTAGAACTAAAAATATCG